TCCCCCCCCACCCCCACCCCCCACAACCCCCCTTGTGCTAAGTATTAATCGTGTGATTACACCCTCAAAGAGGCCCGGCCGCCGCTGGGGGGTGGGGGGGGAATTCTGGGAGTTGAAGTCCAGACATCTTAAAGTTGCCAAGGTTGAGAAACGCTGCCCTTGGGGATGGCCTTTTGCCAACTGATGATATTTCCTCCGAAGCCAGTTTGGAAGGAGACCGATCCTCCTAAAATTCAGTTGCCCCAGATGTGATGTTTTTCAGTATTCCCCATCCTGCAGTTCAAGAGTCAGGCGTCGTAACTTAACGTCTAGGGATGCACAATTGTCAGAGCCACAAACCACACTTAGTCTTCGAGTGGTGTGCCAGGGGCTCCATGCCAAAAACCAAGCAGAACAAAAACTTAATTCAAATTCCATGCAGTTCATGTGCTGACTCTAAGTCAGTGTTTAAGAAACTTTTTTTCCTCAGGAGCCTTTCCCACTTTTAAGTTATGGAGGACCCCAAAAGACCTTTGGTTTGCATGGGTTATATTTATCAACGTTTACCGTATTAAAAATTAAAATCGACGCATTCACTGCCACTACTGTTTCTCGTGATTGTTTGATGGGATTTTAATATTGTATGCTTTTTCAGCACAGGCCAGCCAATACTTCTGATTTTGCAGACCACTAAGAGGGTTTTGGGAGACCCCCTCCCCAGCAGTCCTAGGACCACACTTTAAGAAACACTGCTCTGTGTCATGTATTTCACAAAGTGCCCCTGTTATGACACTAATAATTACAACTTCTAAACCATTTCTGGGCACAGCCAGATGACCACATCTAGTCAATCTTGGCTGATCTTGAAGAGATAGACCGGTCTTTCCAAGACCATCGGTCTTCCTACCTAGATTTATAGACCACTCCTCTCCAAATTTCCTCCATAGCAACAACCCTGTGACATAGGCTGGGCTGAGAGGGAGGGACTGTCCCAAAGTCCCCCAGGAAGCATCCATGGCTGAGGGAGAATCAGAACCTGGATCTTCTGCTCCACATCCAACACTTCCATCCCTATTCCACCCTCATTCTCATTTGGTAAATTGCTTGTCCCCCTCCCACTTATCCCAGAAAGTGGCTAGTATCCCATGAGCCCTTGCACCAGGAGAGTATTGGCAAGGCTTTCCTACATAATTAGCCCCTTCCCCATTGGCCAGAATGGCGATGCAGCCATTTGGAGGCTGTGCTGGTGCTATCAGGCCTTTGCAACCTGTTCTGCACTAGCTCTGTGGCTGTGTTCCCATACTACAGCTTAATCTGGTTACCAGATTAATCCATTTTCCAGGTTTCTTTATTTATTTAATGGACTCATAGGGCCGTCCAGCTCAAACAGCCTGAGTCTGGGTGGCGTACAACAAGAAGTAAACAATAAACCAAACATAACCACATAACATTAAACACATACCCAAGATATAAAATACAAATAAAATAGCGACCAGAGATGATAATGAAACAACCAGAAGGGGATTGTACTTAAATGGACCCAAATGCCTTGGGGGGAAAGGTAGGTCTTAACATCTTTCTTAAAGGTGAGCAGAGTTGGGGCCTGTCATATATTGAGGGTGGGGAGATGAGAGATCATTCTGTTTGCACTGTGCATAGACCAAAAAGAAGTCCATTGGACTGGATCTGACTACATGCAAAGCCACAACCCTTCCCCCAAAATAAGATTAAGTCTAATCAAGCTTAGTACAGGTAGTCCTCGCTTAACAACCATTCATTTAGTGACTGTTCAAAGTTACATCAGTGCTAAAAAAGTGACTTATGACTGATCCTCGCACTTACAACAGTCACAACACCCCCCTGCAGTCATGTGATCTCAATCTGAGTGCTTGGCAACCAGCTTGCACTTATGACAGTTACAGCATCCCGGGGTCACATGATCACCATTTGCGACCTTCCCAGACAGCTTCTGGCAAGCAAAATCAATGGTGAACTGTATGATTTGCTTAACGACTGCTGCCAAAAAGGTCGTAAAATTGGGTCTGATTTGTTTAACAACCACCCTGCTTAATAACCAATTTTTCTGTCCCTATTGTGGTTGTTAAGTAAGGACTACCTGTATGTATGTTGCTTGACCTTTCCCTGATTGGATGAAGTATGATTCTAGCCTTACCTTGAACTCAAGTTTCTTAAGCACTAACAGAGTAGGCTTTGGAAAATTTTTGATCAGGTATGGTGTTTGGACTATATAGCTGAGTGGATTAGGGTAATTTAACCCAACCTCCCCATTCCCCAGGATTGTTCTAAAGTAAAACCCTTTTCTGCCCCACTGATCACTTACGATGTTTCCAACATTATGCTTACTTCCCTGCTGAGTAAGCACTGAGCATGCTGAATGAACACAGCCACTGAATGGTACAGGCACCAAGATGAATTCCAGCTAAGGTGATAAACACAAGGCTCTTCAATTTCATGCAAGGGTTCAGTATCAATATCCCTAAGATGTTACCATCAGTTTTTTCCTGTCCCGGCAGCTTAACAAAATCCTTACTGTGGACATAACAGAGCATGGATCTGTCCCCTTCAGTTCTGTGAGTTATGATTTATGGCTTAGTATGGAAATTCAGCCACTGGGTCTTCTTTATCCAAATATGGATTAGGATGTGCTGTGAGCCCCATTAATCTGTAACCACCAAGTGGTAGCACGCAATAACCCAAATGAGTAGCAAGAAATGTAGTGGGATCCCTGTGATCTTTCTCCACACAGTGCCACCATTTCAGAACTGTTTTTGGACAGAGCAACACGGCTCCCATCCCAGGGATCTCAAGAGCATTTGGCCTTTCAGCACATGTTGTCCTCTGGTTCTGCCAATCCAGAAATGGCTGTCTGACTTCCTTGAGCTGTTTTTAAACTTGAGCTATACTGCGAATGGCATCTGCAAAGGGAGCTTCTGGGGATAAGCCACCAGCTTCTCTGCACCTCGAGGAACTCAGAGGTCAGGAAAACATCACTCATTTTTGCAGTTTCCTCCCTTCTACTCCAGAAACGCTACTTCCCAGGAGCAAAGCATTGCCATTGGTCAAGCAAAGGAAAACACAGAACTGGGAAGACTCTGTTGCAGGAAGGGGAAAAAATCCAGAAAGCTCTAGCAAGGACGCCCATTAGTTAAATAAGTCCACAGGGTAATTACAGATGAACTAGGTTCACGGTACACACTAAGCCATGGTTTGTTGAAGAAGACCCAATGGCTGAGTTTCCATATTAAGCTATAAATCATAAATCACAAAAGTGGAATTCACACATTGCTGTAAACCAAAACTGAACAAATCATATTACGGTCTAGCACAAACTACATTTCCAGCAACGTCTCTCTGCTGAATCTGGAGCATTGTCAAAAAATGCCCTAGCCCTAAATTTATGAAAAAGATTCTTTATTATTTAAACCATGCAAAAAACACAATCATGCCCCCTTCCCAATTGGGTTACAACAACATTCTTGTAATTATTTTCCAAAAGGGACCTTGCTTTTCCAACACTAGTCTGGCTTGCTATTGGGAAGGGAGTCTCTTCCGCCTTTTTGAGGTGGAAATACATGAAATTCAAAGTCTAAAGTAGGCTTAATAGTATTTTTAAAAAGGAAAACTTTATCCTCCCTCTGAAAAACAGAAAATCCTAGCCACACACAAACACATACAATATGATCCCATCCATCTCATTGTCTGGTCCACTGTGATCCCTGAAATCACTAAGGGCAACTTCCAGCTCCCTAAAGATTGACCCAACTCTGCTCTCAAGTTCTGAGCCTCAACTGCTCCAAGTTGAAGAGCATTTCCACAACCTGATTTGAAAAGTCCCCAGCTAACCTGAAAAATGTCATTGGCACATTTCCTGCACAGGTTGTGCTGGCACGGGAGGATAACCACAGGTTTGGTGAACATCTCCAAGCAAATGGGGCAGATCAATTGCCTCTCCAAGTTCTCCATCGTGGGACAATCTCTTGGGTAAGAGGTGTATTCCATGTGCTTCGACATGACAAGGGGACCAGCAACCGTTCATGGAGGTGCAGCTCTTTCCGTGTGCCCTCACAGGACACAGTGGTGAGGAAACGCTGGAGAACCCCAGAAGCACCTGTCTACTTAATTTCCCCAGAGGTCTGCCACATGCTTCTTGAAGGCTCCAGAAATATAACAGCAGAGTCTGTGATGCTCCCCTCCGTCCTGGACAGTGAACGGTTTAAGTTTCGACCCTGCCTTAAAGGGCCATTTCAGCTCAGATGCTAAAGGTGGTGTCTTAAAGTAGAAACCCTGGATTTAAGGTTTGGAAGGGGGCAGAAAAGAAACTCTCTTTCCAGCACATGGATGCAGTCACATGGTTCATTTTAAAGCAGGCAACTGGGGAATCTTTTCTTCTGTAATTCATTTTCTCTAGACCAGTGTTTCTCAACCTCAGAAACTTTTAAGATATATGGACTTCAACTCCCAGAATTCCCCCAGTCCACACATCTTAAAGTGGCCAAGGTTCAGAAACACTGCTCTAGGCAGATCTAAACAAGGAGCTCTCTTCAAGAAAGTAATGCAGTGTTAAATTTGTGCGAGTCCATTCACACGCCATGCGCAGCCATGTGGCTTTTGTGGTTTAGTTACCATTGTGTTCTCTAAATCACGAGCGATGGCTTAGCATAAATTGCAATAGTATCTTATTTAGCAAACCACGGTTTAAAAACCTTGGCTTAGTATGTGCAGACCCCACTTGTAACAGGTATGACTGCCAATTGGAGGGGTGCTGTGTAAGAGAGGTTTCCAAGGGAGCAGAACAGAATGGGAGCAAACCTTTGGCTCACAGATCAGAAGACTCGCAGCCAGGAGAAGGGAATGTTACGCCGACCTGTGTGAACGTGTGGTGCAAGAATAGATCAGAGCGAAAAGAAGTTAGGAGGTCTGTTAGTTCCTGTGCTCTGTGAGCCTCAGTTGTTTTCCAGTAGACCTGGGGCACATCCCACCCCAAATTCACTCTAGCATCATTCCTTAACCCAAAACTGAATTTGCAATTGAGACAGGAGGCCAAGGAATTAAGAGTGGCCGCGGATCAAAAAGCATCTGCTTTGTTGGAGAGGCTCTTGACCCTTGTTGTTTTCACAAGTAGCTTTTTGTCTTTCTTTCGAGAAAAGTTTGAATAGTACCTCTTTTATCTCCAAGGCCAGAAGGAGCTGTTTGCCTTCTGGGCTAGGTTTTGGCTGCTGAGCAATATGGAGCAGAATCTCTTTCTGCCCCCCACCCCCCGTTTGCCTCTTTTCTCTTTAACTGAAGTCTCTTTGTTTCATTTTCACTGTGCTAAAGCTTTACTGGGGTGAGGAACCAAATTTCTTTTGAAATATTTTCCTCTAGACCAGTGTTTCTCAGTCTCAGCAACTTAGGCTGTGTGGACTTCAACTCCCAGAATTCCTCAGCCAGCATTATATTTGTTATTTCTACCTGATCTGATGGAGAGATTCTTACAGATTCAAAAGTGGAAAATATCCAAAGGTCTAAGGCAGTGTTTCTCAATCCCAACAACTTTAAGCTGTGTGGACTTCAACTCCCAGAATTCCCTAGCCGGCATGCTGGCCAGGGAATTCTGGGAGTTGAAGTCCAGTTCATTTAATGTTGTTCAGGCCAGTGATTCTCAAAGAACAGTCTGAGAACCTCTGGGGTTCCCCAAGACCCTTTCTATTTTGTAGTGATTTTCAATTTTTTTTAAAGTGATACAATGTGTCTAGTTGTTATCATAAATTAATCATTGAAATGAAGGAATAATTGATTTTAAATTTTATGACAATTGTAAATTTTTTATTTACTGATATTTTAATTTCCATCCTCTACTGCTGGGAAAAGTGGAGGGAATGAGAAAAGGATGATCAGCAGGAAGGTGGACAGACTCAGTTACAGTGGCAATAAAGGCGCCGTTGGAAAACCTGAAGGACCAGGATGGGGACAGATCATCATGGCTCTATGTGGTTGCTAGGAGTCGACACCAACTTGATGGCACATAATCGATCAATCAATCATCTCCTTTTTTCACATTTTTTTTCTTTTATGTAGTCATTGATTTTGTTCCTTAAATGTTTTAAAATAAATTTTAAAAATGTTCAGAAATGTTTTTCTTCTTCCACCGAACTCTTAGGTATTCCGCTACCTAAGGATTAGAAACCTGCATGGATATAATTTGGGATCAGCAAACTATATTGCTAAGACTGGGAAAGCATCTAAAAAGAACAAAAAAATAAAATTTATTTCAACCCACTTGAGATACTTTGCAGCTGAATGTACCAGGGGTGACTTCAGAACAAGCTTTATTAAAACCAGTAAAGCAAGATACGTATTTTCGAACAGGCTTACGTGGGTATAAGAATGTGTCAACTTCACCAAGACAAAACTGTGCTAGTCTATTTACACAATATACTAAACTGTGGTCATTTAATTATAATTTACTGAGTATGTCCTACTGGCTAGATTTCCAGAAGCTGCCATGGTTTGTTTTGTTAATTATGTTTACTGAATAAATACTAGTTGGCTAGGTTCACCTACTTCATTAAACCATAAGTCATGGTTTACACACTGCAGTTGGCTGAGTTCATGCAGCACATGGAATCAAAATCAAACAAGTAACATTACAGTTTAGCCCAAGGGCAGGACCATCAGCCATCAAAATATTTTGCTTCCCTCAAATTCTGTGATGTGTCATTGGGAATTTTTCTGAGAACCCTTACGGATGATGGCTTTGCACTGAAAGTCTGCCGCCCAAATTTCCCACAGTTGCTCAGACCCATGACCAAACATCCAATTCTATACAATGAATCCGGCTCCCGCTTGTGGACTTCCTCCTCAAGTAATCCCATTTCGGCTAGAAACAGCAAAGATTCTAGCAAAGGAGAAAGAAAAAAATGCAAGTCGTCTTTTTTTTTTTTTTGCCATGAAAACATTTATTTTACAATCTTGGTTTCTGGTAATTTAGCAATCTTTATTTATTTATTTTCACTTTTAAGTTCCTACTCAGACATACAATACATAAATTACCATGCTAAAACATAATAGAATTCCTTTTTGAACTGTAGGTATGCACCGGAGCTCAGTACTTGCGAGTGTTAACAATCCACAAAGTGCGTACAGCTACAGCTACTTACATACAATTTAAAGGATGGTCCTTTAAATAACATAACAAAATATATATATATTCTATGTATATATATATATTTATATAATTGCTTTTCAAATGCATCTATACTTTGATTTTTTTCTTTTTCTTTTTTTAATAATTAACTTTTTTTTTTAAACCCATTTGGATTTTCCCTTCTCCCATCCCGCAAATACACGTGCAAAAACAGTTACCTCGACAGGTCACATGGATTTCAGAAGAGGTCACAGTAAAACCTAAAATCAGCATTAAGTGAATGACGTGCATCAACCAAACGTGGCTGTTTCAGAGCCTTGTTTCTGGAACTTTACTGAACCCGACAAACACTGTAAAACAGGTATACTGGCCAACTACCCCTTAGTCCATCAAACTTCTTCCTTAAATGTATGAGACTGCCTAAAATTGAGGGAGAACTAACTAACTACTGGGGGAAAAAATTACCCCCCCCCCCCCAAGAAGACGAGCAGGCATATGAGGAAGGGATTAACGGAACAACTGCTGAACAAGATGAAGTTGGCATACATTCACACAAAGACATCCACGCCCAAGAAGGAAAACGGAAAATCTGAAGGGCTGTTGTTTGGTAGAGCTCCAGGTTTATGCCATCCATCTCCCTGGCTTACCAGAGAGTCATCTTTTTAAAAAAACGACTTAAAACATCTATAATGAAATAAGTTCTGTGATCTGCACTGTGCAGTTAAATGATTGTGCTGATCGCCTCCAGTAAAATATAAAATACATGTCCTTTTAGGGTAACGATAGTGGCTTTCTGGGGACAGACAAGAAAATGTGAAGAGAACAAGGGTCCCCCCGGAGAAGAAAAGGGGTACAAGCTTCTTCCAGCACCTCTACTCTCCACCTGAGGACAAATCAAACTTCTATGTGCCTATTTCAACATTCTTCCATACAGACATTGTGAGGAGGAGGGCCAACTTTCTCCAGAATTGCAATTCCATAATTTCTCAGCCAACAGGAAACTCTGGAATTTACTAGGGCACCAGGTTGGGGGAAGGCTGCAAGAAGTCAATTCTGCTAGCTAAAAAGGCAGGTTGTATGGATCCATCCAAGATTATGTCAGATTCGTGGGGTAAACAAAAGCATCCAGTCTTTCCACCAACTCTGTCTGCTCTATCTGGTAGCACTAGTGAAAGGAGGCCTTCACAGATGGGCTGAGAAACAATGGAAGTCCAGAAAGTCTTCCTGCTTTCTTTTTTGGGGTGGGTGGGT